CCCTCTGTTGTTTCAGGAGGTCTTTTTCCCATTCATGTTCCTTACTGGACTTTTATGAAATAATATATTTTATGATTCATCCCTTGAATCATTATGAACTAGTATTGATTACAAGTATTTAAAAAAGTTTATATGCATATATACAAAAGATTAAAAAAAAGGAAATGAACACTTTAATTCAGCAAAGAAAACCGAAGACATTTGTAATGTTACAAAATATTTCTATTTCTGCTCTTTTGCAATTTCTGTTCCTCGAATTCTGAAAAAAGAGCTTACACAATAATATTAAGCAACACAAATGTTTTCAGCGTTGTTGTCAATAAGAACTGTTTCTTGGATTTCCGGTTGAGCCGTGTGGAAGATGGCAACTTAAGAGAAACGCTCCCCAGTCGACAACTATTCTCCCTTAATTCAAATAGTTCAGATATGGAAAAATCTTTATAAGTAATATGGCAGAGGGAGACAAACATAAGAAAACGCGGGGAAAGTCGATTATGAAACTCGAAAGAGACGGTAAAGGTGATGAAGACGGTGAACGACGAGGGCAGAAAAATGAGGGGGATCAAGATGGCGATGCTAAAACGCCTCCGCCCTCCGTGGAAATTAATGCGATGATCCAAGGGAGTATATCGGCAATTCACAGTCAGATTTCTGCACTACGTTCTGATCTCAGGGATGACATGACTGACTTTCGTCAGAAAATAAGGGATGACATCAGAAACGACCTGACAGACTTTAAAGAAGAAATAAATCGAAAGCTGAATGAAGTGACGAAAACCCAGCAATCAACATCCAAAAGAGTGGACGAGATGGAAAAACGAATCACTGATCTGGAAGAAAGGGGCGTGGATGTAAGGGACGCGGTCAGCAACACTTTGAAAGTACAGAAGAACTTGTAAGACAAGTTATCTGACTTGGAGGGCCGCTCCCGACGGAATAATTTACGCGTTTATGGGATGCCAGAAGGATGCGAGGGAAGAAACGTGATGGAATTCATTGCCGAATTTATTAAATCCGAACTAAGCTCTCTACAGGACATTGACCTACAGATACAGAGAGCCCATAGAGCTCTCGTTCCTAAACCCAGTCAAGATGCACAGCCTAGATCATTGGTGATCTGCTTTCTCGAATATCGTGTCAAGGAAATGGTACTTCGAGCTGCATGGAACAAGAAAGAGTTGGGCTACCAGGGCCGGAGAATTTTTTTTGACCGACTACGAGACCGATATTCTTCAGCGCCGAAGGGAATACGCGGAAATAAAGAGAGCTCTCAAGGCCAAGCAAATACGATTCCAAACACCATACCCAGCGAAGCTGAAAGTATTCCTCAACAGCGGGATCAAGGTTTACAACAACGCGACAGAGGCGTCCAGAGACCTGAGGAAGTAAGGAATTGCACTTGACCTAATTGAGCATACTGGGCAACCCAACCGCCCGCTTTGGCAGAGTCTGCGATGGGGAAAAAGAAACGTCAGCTAGGCGTAAATGCCAGCAGAACCGTTAGATACAAATACGAGAAAAATTGAGGGGCTATCAACACATTCCCGGCCCAAAGAGCGACAGTGTAACTTCGTGAATTCAGGACTAATATAGAAGTAATATTGGTATATATCTTTTCAAGTTCTGGCTGAAAGACGGGGCTGTTAATATGGTCACTTTAAAATTTAAAGTCAAGTATTTTAGATAATCCCCTTTTCATTCTTTTCTTAAATCGCCACTTTTGATTATCTACCCTCATCCTTGTCATGGATAATCCCCTCCGCTTGCTGTATAAGGACCTACAGATCGACACCAGGGGACCAAATAATTCTAACTTTCTCGTGATTGTTTAAGCGGGAGATTTTTTTTCTTTATATCACTAGCTGAGAGGCCCTCACTAAAAGTGAGGATTTACCCTCTGTTGAGAGGGTTATAATTACATAACCCTTACAGTGGAAATCATTGTTCGGAATGACTTTGTTTTTTGTCATAAATAGTTTAGCAGTTGTTTTGGTTTTAAATCGCATTGTTCTGACTTTCATGGGTACATTTTGTCAATATATAAAACTATGTTTAAGACATACCAGGAATATAAGATGATGACTCTCAATGTCAACGGGTTGCATAACGTGGTAAAAAGAAGCAGGGCCATAGCAAAGATTAAGAGAGAGAAAACAAACATTATATTTTGGCAAGAGACACATTTGTCGAATTTGGAGCATGAAAAATTAAAAAAATGTTGGGTTTTAAAAACTGTTACTTTTCATCACATCGGTCTGGTAGAAAACGAGGAGTAGATATTTTAATACCTAACTCACAAACCTTTGAGTTTATGTCTGAAATTAGGGACAAGGAAGGGAGATTTATATTGGTAAAAGGAAAATTAGATCAAAAAATTATAACTTTATTTAATGTCTATGCACCTCCTGGCAGTGGAAAATTATTCTTTAAGAGAATATTCCAGTTGATAGCCTCAGAAACAAACGGTACTTTGATATGTGGAGGAGACTTGAATATCCATCTCCAACCTAAACTGGACCTGTCTAGCACAAAAAGAATGAAGAAAATAACCTCACAGGCTTCAATGGTGTGGAAACCAATAAAAGAGTTAGGCCTAATTGACGTCTGGAGGGAGTTAAACCCTAAAGGTAACAGTATACATATTATTCGACCCCTCACTAGTTTATTCCAGGATAGACTATTTCTTCACATTTAAATCAGACCTTCATATCGTTAAAGATTGTAGTATTGGTGTGAGAGATATATCAGATCATGCTCGTGTTTATCTTAAATTACATTTAGATAACATGTCAAAAAATAGAATCTGGCATTTAAACACAGGAATATTAAATTATATTACAGTACAGGAGGAACTGAAAATTGAATTTGAGCACTACCTACAGGACAATGATAATGGAGAGGTTTCACCTCATGTGTTATGGGATGCCTTTTAAGGTGGTGATACGGGGGAAAATTATTCTCTTGACTTCATTGCGGAAAAAGGCCAAACAGAAGAAGTTTCAGGAACTACAATAAAAAATATAAAATGTAGAAGATGAACATAGACAGAATAATAACTCAAATCTGCTGAATCAAATAAAGACGGTGAGAGAAGAAATCAATAAAATATATGAAGATGATGTAGAAAAACAGGCCAAATTTTATGAAACTAGACTCAGCCATGAAACTTTTAGCTTGGCGTCTCTGCAAGCAAAGAACAAAAAACATAGTAAAGAATATTAAAAACCCAGTTACAGGGAAAATAAGTAATTGTATAAAAAATATTCTAAATTCTTTTGAACATTTTTATAAAACCCTTTATTCTCAGCCATCTCAAACAAACACGCAATCGATTTCAAATTTTCTTGATTCATTGGATTTACCGTCAATTGGCTCAGAACAAAACAAAATATTAATGGCTGAACTAATGCAAGACAAATTAGATAAGGCAATAAATAGCTTAAAGACAAATAAATCTCCCGGAAAGGATGGATATCCGTCTGAATGGTAAAAATATTTTGCTCCGAATTAACACCCTTACTTCTCTGATCGTTTAACCATACACTTAAAGAGGGAGAGCTTCCACAGTCTTGGAAAGAGGCAATCATATCGGTGATACATAAACAAGGAAAGGACAGTAAAGAATGTAGCTCATATAGACCCATCTGAGTTCTAAATGTAGATTATAAACTGTATACTTCAATTCTAACAAAAAGATTAGAAACCGTTCTACCAGGTTTAATAGATCATGATCAGACCAGGTTTATTAAAAACAGACAAACCCATGATAATATTAGACGTACACTTCAGATAATGAGTCCTATAACTAAAAATAAAATTAGTGCAGTCTTTCTTAGCCTAGACGCAGAGAAGGCCTTTGACTCTGTGAGCTGGCTACACTTATATCAAGTGTAGCCAGGCTTCTGCTGGAGGCAGTGCGGGTCATTATCGGCTGATCATGTACATGTCTTCTGGTCTTGTCCAGTTTTAAATCAGTATTTGTCAGAAATACATTCTAGCATAGAGGAAATCTTGGAAATTGAGATTGAAAAAACAGCTTATATTCTATTTCTTGGCAATATACCTGATTCAGTTAATAATAGGAATAAATATCTACTCCGGATTCTACTAGCAGCAGCAAAAAAAGCGATTACTCTACTATGGCTCCAGCAGCCTCCCCCAACAAGAACTCAGTGGGAACAAGTAGTTACAGAAATTTACAAGATGGAAAGACTGCCATTCAGGTTGAGACTGCAAGAAGAGACTTTTAAGAAACACTGGGGAAAATGGACAATCTCTATATCAAAACAGAGAGAAGATAGATAAATGCCAAAGTGAAATATGTATGTAATTAGGATCAATGGCTGCTTGATAGTAAGCCTAAGGAAATGAGTATTATGTTTATGAATGTATGACCACAAATATTCACGTATACATGCTTACAAATATTTGCTTGTATCATAACCAGTTGACCAGACTGAAATTTCTTTTACTTTTTATGTTATACTTTGAGGAAAATATTTATGTATGTACCCATGAAGGAGTGTTGTTTGATTGTTATTGTGTTGAAGTTCATGAAAAAAAAAAGTTAAAAAAAATAATAAAATGTTTCTTGAGCACCAAATCAGCATATTAGAATGATTTCTAAAGGATCACGTGACACTGAAGACTGGAGTAGTGACTGCTGAAAATTCAGTAGATTTTAAATTATATGGAAATAGAAATTATTTTAAATTAAGAACAATTTACACTTACATTTCTTAGTGTATCAAATAACTGAAGCCTAACTGAAGCGACTTCTTTCAAAATAATCTTATTGACATTGTTCAAACTTTTGAACTGTGTATATAAGTATTTTAATAGTGTAAGAGAAGAAGATTGCATTATTTTTTTTCCATTTCATTTTAAATTAATGTTATATTCATTATAACTAAGTTATATTCACACTGACTTGCAGTAGTACTGACTTCTGGAGAAGCAAATATGCTGTTTTTCTGCTGAAAAAGTTCAGAAGAAAGACTAGATTAAGATGGTGATTCAGACAAGTGTGGTTTGGATATTTTTATGACTGCTGAGCTACAGTTGCTATGGTTATAAAACACTCTTAACAAACAGAATGAATATTACCTATTCCTCTGACACACTCACACAAAGTGCATGTTGTGCTCACCGTTACTGTCGTTGGGCCACACTGTCAAACAGGATGTATGCTCGTGACACATACGTCTGTGTAACTGTCAGCAAAAATGTGTTGTTTTCTAGGACTGCTAGAGCAAATAATTACTTACTTTTTTCTGTAATAGCAATCTGTAATAACAGATCTGTTAGCTAACTTTTGTGCTTTTGTTTTTCAGGGCCATACATTGGTGCACACTGACTCTAAGGGATTCAGACTAAAAAAAATAGTCTGATTTTCAGAGTCAGATCAGCCATTACTCAATTTAACAACAGCGAGGACAGGAGGAGGGGTGAAAAATTGGACCTCTCAGCCACTCTCCTCCAATGTCCCAGAGACACTATGACTGCTGTTGGGTCACCAAACTGCTGAGTGAAACCCCTTGAAACGGCCCTCTGACTCACTCTTACCCAGATATGAAGGAGGTGAGGCTGTGGACAGCCAGTGACGTCTCTGATTGGCTGACCGACGAAGGCTTGCAGGAGTACACCGATGCATTGCGGAACGTGGATGGCCCTGCCCTCTTGAGACTGTCTGAGGAAGACTTTAAGGCCTCGCCTTTGTCCCTGGTCACAGGGGACAGTGGTCGACAGCTTTTGGAACGCATAGAGACTTTGCGCTTCACCAACCACATGAAGGCACACAAGAACAACAACCACGAAAACAGCCACCATGCCAACGGTCACGCTGGCATCGATCTTGCCAATGGCAGTGTGAGCAATGGCAAGATCCACAACGGCATTCCAAAGAATGGCTTGCACTCGAAACCGGTTCGCATCTTGATTCCATCACTGCCTGAGCAGGAGCGCACGCCGTATCCCACGGAGTGGTTCAAAACAGGTGTGGCCTTCCTTTACGCTCTGTTCTGCTTCCTCACCACAACAGTTGTGATCTCAGTGGTGCATGAACGTGTCCCACCCAAGGAAGAGTCTCCGCCCCTGCCAGATAAATTCTTTGATCTGTTTGATCGTGTGGAGTGGGCGTTTTCCATCTGTGAGATCAACGGCATGCTGCTTGTGGGACTGTGGTTTACACAGTGGCTTCTGCTTAAACACAGGTCAGTTCCTTAATCATTTTTCAAGTGGTTTTAATCTATGAACTCTCCTAGTTTCTGTACAATAATTGTCATTTACACACCCTCATGTCGTTCCAAACCTGTATGAGTTTCTTTCTCATGTTGAGCATAAAAGAAGATATTTTGAAGAATGCTGGTAATCAAACAGTTGAAGGTCCCCATTGACTTCCATAGTATTTCTTTCCCTATTATGAAAGTCAGTGGGGACCATCAACTGTTTGGTTCTTGAAAATTTTGTGTTCAACATAAGAAAGAACCTTGTACAGTTTTGGAACGACATGAGGGTAAGTAAATGATGACAAAATTTTGGGGTGAACTATTCCTTTAATCAACAATTAAAATTATTGTAGATCTTTACTTTTCCAGTCATTGTTATTTAATGGATATTAAATAAAGATAAGAATATTGAAATATTACAATTTCTACCCAAAATTTTTTTATAAGATATATATATATATATATAATAAAAAATATTTTTGAAAAAATATTCTATAAAAAATTAGTACTACTACTATGTCTGTCTGTCTAGATAGATATATATATATACATACATACATACATGCATACAGTGGGTACGGAAAATATTCAGACCCCCTTAAATTTTTCACTCATGAAACATTAGCATATTGCCCACCCACTTGTTGGTCTTTTTGCATTAGTCTGAATGAAAATGCAAATTCATTCTTTGCCACTTGGTGCCGCTTTTGGAGCGGTAAAATAGCTGTTTCACCGGTAACGCTGTTCACAAATCATCAAAAGCGCTGCTTTATCAGGCATTGCAGGCACAATGAAATTAAAATGAGTCCAATCAGACTAATCACCACAGATTAGCGTCATGCAAAGGAGGGGGTTGGAAAAATTAATCGTTGAGCTAAACGTTTGGGAGTCGTTGAGCAAGTAAGGTAAAAATGTATGCATATTATAAGACAATGAAAGTGTTTTTTGACCTTGCATGCATGTCAACCTGTTGTTGGGGACTGCCAAAACCAAAATATGAACCTTTCATTGCCCATAATAGGGGCACTTTAAGTCATCTTGAGTTCCTCCTGGGCAGTTTGTTAAGGCCCTCTAGTGGGCACTGGCCCCCAGGTTGAGAATCACTGCATTATTCACCAACTAAAGCACATCCCAGCTTGTTCAATTTATTTCATGACATAAACAGCTGAATCACAATTTAATAGACCAAAAAAAAACTTACTGACCGGTTTCCCTTCTACCTTTCATTGCAAAAACATTTGAATGAGTTGTTCAACCAAGTCTCAGCCTTTCTCACACAGAACAACCTCCTGGACAGCAACCAATCTGGCTTCAGAAGTGGACATTCGACCGAGACTGCCTTGCTTTCAGTTGTTGAAGCCCTAAGACTGGAAAGAGCGGCCTCCAAATCTTCTATACTTATTTTGCTGGATCTGTCTGCTGCTTTTGATACAGTGAACCACCAGATTCTCCTGTCAACCCTATTGGAAAATGGCATCTCAGGAACCGCACGCCAGTGGTTTGAGTCTTACCTCTCAGATAGGTCCTTCAAGGTATTTTGGAGAGGTGAGGTGTCCAAGTCACAACATCTAGCTACTGGGGTGCCTCAGGGTTCAGTTCTTGGACCACTTCTCTTCTCTATCTACATGGCATCACTAGGTTCTATCATTCAGAAACATGGCTTTTCATATCACTGCTGTGCTGATGACACTCAACTCTACCTCTCATTCCATCCTGATGATCCGACGATAGCTGCTCGCATCTCAGCATGTCTAACAGACATTTCTTGTTGGATGACGGACCATCACCTTCAACTCAACCTGGCTAAGACAGAATTGCTTGTGGTTTCAACAAACCCATCACTTCATCAAAATTTCACCATCCAGTTAGGTTCATCAACCATAACACCTTCAAAAACAGCCAGAAACCTTGGAGTTGTGATTGATTGATCAGCTGAATTTCTCAGACCACATTGCTAAAACTACCCGGTCCTGCAGATTTGCTTTATACAATATTAGGAAGATCAGGCCCTTTCTTTCAGAACATGCAACACAACTCCTTGTTCAAGCGCTTGTTCT